GGTCGCCCCAGATCCGGCTGGAGCTCCGGCGGGTCCGTCGCGACCCGCCATTTTCGAACCGCCGTATCTTCCTCCTCCGAGCTCCGTTTTATGCATTTTAGGTGTCTATGGACTCGTATTTTCGTGCTCTACAACTCTATGGGTTTATTTTCTTTAAAAAAACATCAATTTTAAAGACCCAAAAAAATGGTTCGAACGGCCGACGTTGGAAGCTTCAGAAAGTAGACTTCGATCACGTTTTTAAGCCTTACGGAATAACAGGTAATGTTTTCGAACTTCACTTATATAAACGGAGTGTGTATGTGAATTTAAAACACAAGCATATAGAGTTCGAATTGCATACGGCATATTCACGATGCAGCGGAAAAAAATGAGCGTGTAATATATATATGCACACATATATTGAGAGCCTCAAGAACATCTCGGCTCTGATGCCAATGTAAGATAAATTTCAGAATGGATCGAAAACATACCGGGTCGGATCTCGGGTCGAGTCGGTCGGATCTTCTTAGCTCACGCTTAAGCTAGACTATAAAAGTCTGAGCTTTTAAGTGCACAGCAGAGCACCTCTTTTGCAAGAAAGAAAATAAGAGAGAGAGAGATAGTAGGAAAGCTCTACTACTGGAGTGATTTGAACTGATGGGGGGAAGCCTCTATTTATAGCTTTTGTCAGGGATATTTTGGGTAGCATAAAAATATCCACTGAGCCCATCAGATAAAATCTGAGATAAGATATAATATATTCTTATCTCATAATATCATGATATTTGAATTTAAATCCAGAATCAATCACAATTAATTCTAAATATATATACTTAATATATATTTAATCTACACAATATAAATTAATTAATTTAATATAAATTAATTAGATTTATATCGTAACCGATTGGATATGATTCAGGGTGTTTGACCAAGTCAAACATATCACAATATCGCTTGGATATTTGACTGATATATTCTCTTTATACCCGGTCAAATAATCCGGCCCATCAAGAGCGGATCCAAGCCCAAAAAATCTAACACAAGGTAATGATTATTGAGTGCTAATTTCTTTCTGAAAATCTGTTCAAGTGAAATATTTTCTACCGGGAAAAAATAGCCTTATATCAGTAGTTTGAGATGTGTTGGTTGGATTTTGTTTCAACAATTAGATTATTGATGCTGGGCATCGAACTTTGTAATTTAATTTGTCAGTATGTGCTTATTTTGATAGTGGCAACTTATTTCTTATTTCACAGATTCCACACATCCCACCAATGTGGCAAGTCTTCAGCAACATCGCCGTCGGAATACACACAACATAGAAGCAGGGAGCTAATGTTAATGGAGGAGTAGAACCAGTTGAAGGAGGAGTCCTCCTTCTTCTCAGCGGGCAGAGACGAACTGTTTCGAAAGATGAGAGACGAATGCAAGAATTGATATCTGTAGAACTGCTTCAATGCCATGTCACTCTCTTTCATCATCATTAATGGTGTTTGAAGGATTAATTAACAGAAGGAATTGTAGCTCTAACAGAATGAAATATAAGGATTCAATAAAAAGAAATAAAATTAGAGGGACCCAATTCAAAATCTCATAAAACTTTAAGGACTGCCAAATTAGTTATCCCTTGTATCTTTGTTAATGCGGTCTCTACCTCCCATAGGTGACCATGTATTTAACCATCACGTATTGAGCGGCATATATTTAAAAATTTGTAATACTGATTTACATGGTTTTTATCCTCTTCTTGCAAAGTCTAATGTCTCTCAAGCTTTTATGTTATTTCAAAGACATATTGAAAATTTGTTTAATGTCAAGACAAAATTTATACAATCTGATAATGGAGATGAATACCAAGTGTAACATCCTGATTTTTAATGAAAAATTTAAATGTGTAAGTTTAAATTAATCAAGATCTTGACAAGTTTAAATGGATGTTTGAAGTTGGGGAGGACTGATCATGTGTTAGACTAAGGTTGGTAAATTTTTATTTGTAATTAATATGTAGAAAATTTGGGGCAGTTTTTTTTCGTAAATACCATTATCATTTTATGATTAAAGCTTCATGCGCATGGATAAAAGATAACGCAATAGATAAAGGTATTATTGGAAACAAAAAATTATCATTGGAGACAATGGAAAATGAGTCATCATATTTAGAACCAAATCAAAATAATCAAATAGACCTTATATTTAGGACAGGGGAAATACAAGAAGCTGATTGGTGGAGAGATGGGAAATGACATAGTTTTGAGCTAATGAAGGGAAATGGAGAGGATGCCCACATGGAGATGTTTCACGCCGCAAATGACCCGATTTCTTTCCATTTCTATTTTCTGACAGTGTTGTTCACTTGTTTGAGTAAGTAGGTGGTGTTCAAAATTTTGAAATTTTGTTTCCCTCCAAATTTGTAATAAATGGTTGAATTTGGTAATTCCCTCATGCGTTTTAGAATCCTCATACAAAATCAAACCTAATAGGAGTGTTTCTACTGAATTCTCAAATAGTGTTGAATTTTTATTCTATTGGATGAGGATTCTAGAAAGCATGAGAGCGTTGCCAAATTGAACTATTTGGGTAGTGATCGGTGGCTTTATTTTATTTATATTCTTAATATGTTCTGTAATATTGAAGACAGCGTCATCTATCTGGAATTGTTAAAATCCCCAGTGAACCAATGCATTTCACGAAGCCCGGCACATGTGTACACAAAAGTAATATGTTAAAATCATGTACCAATTAAAGAGAATCAAATGCAGAAACAGAATTATTACTTTCTGTCTTTCTTTCTTTTTTTACCAGAAGAATTATTACTTTCAAACCACGAATCAAAAAATCCACTTGGTTCTGCTAATCAGACTTCAAGATCTTAGGAATAGGGAAGAAAGAGTATGAAAATGAAGGAATCTTGCTAGTCTCTTGTGCAATTTACGTATGAGGAGTAAAGGTAATCTTAAATGGGTGATTAGTGGCTCTATATTGAATCTTATTTGGACTGACAACAAAGTTGATAAAGAAGTAAGTTTGGCCCTCTATAATAGTATGAAGAAAGTAAAAGAGTAATTTTTACTAGTTGACTAGAGAGACAATTAGATGCAACATCAAAATGTGAAAGCAACATGGCACTTGGAATACGTTGCATGATCACAGAATGAATTTGGGTGCTTATCACTCTTGATAAGCATTCCAAACTCATTAGATTGAGATTGTTCATTGAACGGTCCAAATTTAATATTTGTTATTTTTGTTTTTAAAAATAATGATTTTAATGGGTATAAAATTAAAAGTAAAGATAATCTTTCAATTGTCATTTTTTCAAAAAATAATTTTTATTTAAAATAATTAATTAAAAATAACAAATATAGACTGGCCGGACAGAAAATATTAAAAATATTAAATGTACATGGTTTTTATTCTCTTCTTGCAAAGTCTATTGTCTATAAAGCTTTTATGTTATTTCAAAGACATTGAAAATTTGTTTAATGCCAAGATAAAATTTAGGAAGAATTAGAAAGAAGGACCAACGGGGAGGAATATTTATGGGAGACGATCATAAAAATTAAAATTATTTTAAAGGACCAAATAGTCTAATATAAATTTAAAAATACCATTTTGTCTCTATCTAAACCTTCTATATTTTCTCCTATATTTCCTCCTATATTTTATTTTTAAAACTAATATGAATTAATAAAACTTACTAAATTAAACTTGATTTCTTCCAAAATTTACAACCTGCGTAAAAAATCAATTAAAAAAATATGTAAACATTATTCAGTCAAGTAAGAATTAAAGTTTATTTTCTTTATGATAAATAAAAAAATTATAACCATCACAAATTTTAATTAAAAATAAAATTTATATAATTTTATTAAAATTTGGATTATTATACAATATATTATATACATAAGTTTAAAAAATTTAAAGAAAATATTTATGATATTTTTTAATACTAAGAAACTTACAAAATTCAGATAATCTTTTTCCCGGATATTCGGCACATCAGAATTTTCCCAAAAATTAGATGTGAATAAGTATTATTTTTTCTCGTCAATTATATTCTAATTTTCTAACTCGCTTTGTTTAAATAAAATTAGAACGTAAGACGTCCAAAATAAAATTTAGAAAGATAAGAGTGCATTTCTTTGCTAACACACGGTTAATATTCCATTTTGTAATTTGTTCTATATTCCTCAAAAACGGGTAAAGACAATAATCAGAACTTCATTATCCTTTTGGTGGTGGAAAGGGAAGGGACGGAAGAAAAAACTTTAATGAACTCGATTTAAAAAACTAAAAAAGAGAGGATAAAAGTTTTAAATTAATTTTTATTACTAATCTTTTATCTTATATCTTCTTTTCATAAAAATTTTAAAATCTCACTTCTCTACTTTTATAAATCCAACTCACTAAAATTTTCCTGTCCTTGTCCTCCTCTCCATTCCACTCATACCAGACATAGGTAACAGAATGCTTATTGTCTATTAAATTTCCTTCTTTTCGTTCCCTCCCCTCCTCCCACAATTTTGTCCTTATTAGCTATACGCTGTTTTGCCAAAAGTCTAGAACGCGTTGATTAATTCCACTTAATGTAACCTTGCTAGTATTAACACTAATTAAATACTTTTTCCCCGCGCGGATAATGCAAAAAAAAAAAATCTTCAACGAAGATAAAAATCATAGAAAAATAGAATCGATGAAAATTTTGCTTGATTAAAAAAATATTGCAGATCGAAAGACCCGAGAAACCCTGTTGGTATTTGGCACGGCTTCTTATACATTTTATATTTTAGTATTAATATTAATAATTGATAATTATTTTACTAGCAAAGAGAAACTCCTTTGCTCAATAACAGTCATACGTAAATTAGAACATTCGTCTTTCATCACACATTTAATTTCTTGGTGTCTGCTGGTTAATTTAATTATCGTTCAAAAAGCAACTTCTTTGGTGTAATCGCTAATGCCTTCAGCAATTAAAAAAGGGGAAAAAATATATTTGTTCGTAGAAAGGGAAATCATAGATCACTATAAACTTTTTATTGATATAATTTATTTGTCACCAAGAACTATAGAACTTGATGAGGATAGTGCAGTGGAGACAGTGATGATACATATATATCTGTTGAATAATTAAGCACACTGAAAGTCCCTGGGGACGCTTTTGCCACAGGTGCTGAGAATCGCGCTCAAGGTATGGGAAACGTTAAGGTTGATGCCTAAGACATTGGCTCTAATGGCCGCGCAGACGCAGGCGGCGGCTTCGAGGTCGACGAGGCCGTTAAGATGGGGACAGCAATCGCTCTTGCCGAGTTGGATGTTGACGATACCCAACAGGTTGGCGCAGACACCTAACTTAAGAGCGTCCATAGGGCAACTTGGCTGATTTCCTGAGGAAGGAGGAGGTGGCGGTGGTGATTGCGCATAGGTGGAGGTTACCATCGTGAAGAAGAGGAGGTTGACGATGCAGAGGACAAGGGCAGACTTGGAAGCCATTCTTCTAGTTTCTGTCACTTGGATTTCTGTGATACTTGGCTTTTGATCGGTGAGGAGTTTTGTGAGATATGATAGGGCTTTTATAGGGGAGAGCATCCCTCTGTTATGGGTTCTTCTTTTTATATTTCAAATGTAAAGCTGAGTTGGATTCTGAAATTATTGGAGCAGTGACTTAAATGTTTAATGCATCTTCTTTTTTTCCCTACATCTCTAATGTAACTTGCCTAACAAGGTGATATAACTGAATAAGTTTTGTACTTGATGTGGATATATATATATATATATATATATATATTTGGTAATCAAAGGTACGGTTAAGATTATGTGAATGTTCCACTACCATAGATTTGTCTTGACTTTACAAAATTCAAAACCGTGTAAATATAACATTTATAACTGATATAGAGGTGCAGCACGGGAAAAAAATTATTAGACATTCAAAATCTTTATCCTAATAAAAGTAAGTTTACTAACAATTTGTCAATTAAGATAGTAAGCAGTCCCACTCTTGTAAAAAGCAAAACACAAGTTCGATATAATAGGGCTTTTATAAGGGAGCATCCCTCTTTTATGATTTTTTTTAAAAAAATAATTGCGATTTTCTTAAATGTAAAGCTTAAATGAGTTGGATTCTGAAATTATCATAGTAGTGACGTAAATGTTTAATGCATGCTCTTTTTTTCCTACATCTCTAATGTAACTTGCCTAACAAGGTGATATAATTGACTAAGTTTTGCACATATATGATGTGGATTTTTTTTTTGTAGTCAAATGTACGGTTAAGATTGTTTGAATGTTCCAATACCTTAGATTTGTCAAGGTTAAAAAAAAAAAACCTTAGATTTGTCTTTATTTTACAAAATGCAAAACTGTGTTACTATAACATTTATACTTGATATAGAGGTGCAACACGGAAAAAAAATTATATTTGACATTCAAAATCTTATCATAATGAAGGTAGATTTACCAACAAATTGTTAGTTGAGATAGTAAGCCGTCTCGTGAAGAGAAGAACACAATTTTAAATTCTAAGATGCGCACTTGTTGGAAAAGTTTTAAACTTAACGTTTTCAACTTGACAAAGATTAGTCTTAGATTCAAAATAGTTTAAGAATACACTGAGTTTACATCAACTATCGTGATTTATTCTAGGCATTACAAACATGATACTTTAAATTTGGATTTTACTTTCTGTTCTTATAATTATCCACTCAGAATCACAGCCTTATTGTCGTGTTTACAAATACAACTGCTTTTGTCTACGGATGACACGAGGGGGGAGAGGCAATTTGGTATACTATCTTCTTCAACTTCCAATATAAATTTAAAAATACCATTTTGTCTCTATCCAAACCTTCTATATTTTCTCCCATATTTCCTCCTACATTTTATTTTTAAAACTAATATGAATTAATAAAATTTACTAAATTAAACTTGATTTCTTCCAAAATTTACAACCTGCGTAAAAAATCAATTAAAAAAATATGTAAACATTGTTCAGTCGAGTAAGAATTAAAGTTTATTTTCTTTATGAAAAATATAAAAAAATTATAACCATCACAAATCTTAATTAAAAATAAAATTTATATAATTTTATTAAAATTTGGATTATTATACAATATATTGTATACATAAGTTTAAAAAATTTAAATAAAATTTGTATAATATTTTTTTAATACTAAGAAACTTACAAAATTCAGATAATCTTTTTCCTGGATATTCGGCACATCAGAATTTTCCCAAAAATTAGATGTGAATAAGTATTATTTTTCTCGCCAATTATATTCTAATTTTCTAACGCGCTTTGTTTAAATAAAATTAGAAGGTAACACGTCCAAAATAAAATTTAGAAAGATAAGAGTGCATTTCTTTGCTAACACACGGTTAATATTCCATTTTGTAATTTTTTCTATATTCCTCAAAAACGGGTAAAGACAATAATCAGAAATTCATTAGGGAAAATGACAGATAAAGAAGGCTGAAATAATAAAATGCCAAAATGGGAAGCTAAGCAAATGTATTACCAGATAGGGAAGTGTTGCCTGATTTGGGATTATGCAAATGTTGCACAATTACGAAACAGCCCCTCATATGCAAACCGAAAAAGTGACCGGTGGAAGTGTGCAAGTTGTGGCGGGAGCTGGAGGAAAAAGTTGGGAGGGACCACGAACGTGGGAGCATGAACGCGCGATTAATTTGAAGCAACAACTGAACGACGGAAGCGAGGTTAGTATCCAGTGACTATATTGTTCGCCTCTGTCTTTTGTCCCTCTCCTTTATGCGCCGGTTGATTTTCCTCTTCCCGTTGGATGGCAATGTCGTCGATGTGGGGATGGTTTTGAGGTGGAGAGGGTGGCGAAGCATGGAGACGGCGTGGGTATATAGAAAGTGTGGGGGGAAGGACGGTGATCAGAGGGTGAATGCACGGGGAAGGAAAAACACTGAGGGAGAGGGGTTTGATGGCGTCACAAGTGGGTTAGAGTGATTAGTGTCAGATAAATGGACAATGTTGGAGGGAGATTCGAATAATGGAGTGGATTGATTCTGAGAAAATGAAGCATTAGTGTGGACAGGAAAGAAATGATTGTTTTGTTGCAAATTATAAGCATGAATGTGTCAAACCCTAAGTTGGTCGTGTAAGTTGATGATGATGGTATTAAGTCATATAATCATTCGACTTCTGTTATGTTATCAGTGCAGGTAATGAAGATAAATGAATTTCGAAGCTGGGTCATCTTGTGGGAAGGAGCTGTTCTGTTATTTTCATGTGGGGGGAAATTTGTGACAAATGGTGAAGGTGAAGTGAGATATAATGGAGGTGGCGTGAGGTTAAGAAGCATTAAGGATGGGCTGACACTTGATGAATTGAGGCTAATGATATCTGAGTGGATTGGTGGCGATGGAAGAAATTATGACATTAAGTACACAGTGGCCTTTGATGAGAAGACATTGATTGACCTTCATGACAATGCTGAAATGTATAACCTCTTTCAATACAATGGGAACAGCGGTCATGTGTATGTGGCCGAAAAAAGACAAGTGGGTCCCCAACCAAGGGACAATGTAGAAATGTAAGTGGAAGTTTGTCCTAACTATTTGTTGTCATTTATGAATTTCTTCTTGTCATTTGTGTTAACGAGTCTTGTCATTATGAATGCAGAACAGAGAGATTCATGGGCATGTCACAGCAAACGGAACTGGATGCGTCTCCCATTAGTTTGTGTTGTGATTATGGCTGGCTCAGTGAAGAAAATGCTCGTGAATGTGACAATGATGAAATAAGTGGGCCCCCTAATGTGGATAAATCTATCGGAGCTGAAGATACGGATGGTAGTGAGATGGTTCATGCGGAATGGAGGGGACTTTTAACAGGAGTGGGCCAACGTTTTCCTAGTGCAGATGTATTTCGGGTGTCTGTATACAAGTTTGCACTTGCAAACAAGTTTGTGGCCAAGTATATGAGGAATAGCAAGGAATTCATGTCGATAAGGTGTAAAGTTGAGGGTTGTCCATGGAAGCTATGTGCAAATCATGTGGGGAAGAGTTGTGATGTGCTACGAGTGACGACATTTATAAACCGGCATGTTCATTCTGCCCAAGATAGCTTGGACGTGATGCATAGTGGAAGAGCTAGTTTGAACTCATCAATAATAATTGATGAGATGAGGGATCATGCAGACAAGCGCACTTCTGAGATAAGGAAGAGGTTGAAACGAGAGTATGGGATTGATCTAACATATAAACAGGCTTATAGAGCAAGAGAGAAGTCACTGGAAGACATATATGGCAGGCCTGAACAATCATACATGCTCATACCATGGCTATGCGAAAGGATAAAGGAAACAGATGAAAAATCAGTGGCTGAATGGACTGCTATTGGGAACCGGTTTGAGCGTGTTTTCATTGCCTACGGGGCATGCATTGAGGGTTTCTTGGGTGGCGCGAGGCATATTATGTATGTTGATGGAACTCACTTAAGCGGACCATACAAGGGGACAATGTTGTCAGCTTCAGCTTATGATGCAGATAACGAGCTGCTGCCATTTGCAATTGCAATTGTGAAGGGAGAAACACTAGATGACTGGACGTGGTTTTTCTATATGATAAAAAAAATCCTGGGTTCTGTGGAAGTAACAATTGTATCAGATCGACACAATGCTATCATCGGAGGAGTGGCATCAATCTTTGGGGGTCAAAGGCATGCCTTTTGTTATAGACACATCAAGGAGAATTTTAGTTCAGAAGTTATGAAAATGAATAAGGGGCAAACAAGGACAAATGGCCGATCAAAGGAGGATGCACTATATTTATTGGATAAAATTGCATACGCAAGGACGGATGAGAAATTTGAGGCAGCAATGGATGACATGAGATCCTTTTCTCCAAGGCTATTTGATTGGCTTATTCATCATGGGGATGTAGATAGGTGGGCTAAAAGTAGGTTCCCATATAAAAGATGGGACAATATTACAACTAATATAGCAGAATCATTCAATGCATGGATGGTGAATGAGAGAAAGCATACTGTACCCCAATTGATCTATGAGCACCGAGATAAAGTTGCAAGAAAGCTGCATGCCTCCTATGTGGGTATGACCAAATGGAAGAATTGCGTTGGTCCAAATATAGAGAGTAAGGTGCTGGATATGGTGGCTGGGTCTGACCATATGTATGCTGAAAATTATGGTGGGGGAAGAGTGAAGGTGACAACATCACGTGGAGACCATCGGGTTGATCTTGGACTACACCAATGCAGTTGCAGATCTTGGCAAATGACGGGGATCCCTTGTTCCCATGCTTGTGCTGCCATCAAGATTGTGCACGGCAATGTTTATGATTATATTGATAATTGCTATAAAAAGTCATCACAAGAAAAGATCTATGCTCGCAGTATGATTCCTGTGGTAACAACAGACATGCCTCACCCAAATGACTACTATAGAATAGAAAATGTCAGTGAGCAAGTTTTCTTGCTACCTCCCATGACATCCCGACCACCAGGAAGGCCAAAAGTAAACAGGGATGAATCACAGTTCCAGAACAAACGGATATACCACTGTGGAAGATGCCACCAGCCTGGACACACAAGGAGGAATTGCAGAAATCCTAACCCATCATGAAGTTTCGAGTACAGTGGGGATGGGTCATTTTTTGGTGTACATAGTTGTATGCTCCGCCCTTGTCAACTTTTTTGGGACTGGGGTTGTAGTTAGGAGCTAGGTGGAGACATTTTTTTGTAAGTAAGCTGATAGAAATTTCAGTGATAACGGAGCATTAAGTGTGGCTAGTATCTTAATGTCCACTTGTTGAATACATGAAAGGAAGTTACTGTTATGGGGATGTTAGCTTTTGTTAATGGCGCATTACTTGTTGTCATTTTTAAATTTGTTCTGGTCATTGGCAGTGATGCTATCAGCATAAGCTGACAGCCGTGTTGAACTGATGTTGTAAAATCAGACCAGGTTATCCTTGTCATTATCGCTGTCATATTCGCTTCACATGGTGTCATTTTTAAATTTGTTCTGGTCATTGGCAGTGATGCTATCAGCATAAGCTGACAGCCGTGTTGAACTGATGTTGTAAAATCAGACCAGGTTATCCTTGTCATTATCGCTGTCATATTCGCTTCATGGTGTCATTTTAAATTTGTTCTGGTCATTGGCAGTGATGCTATCAGCATAAGCTGACAGCCGTGTTGAACTGATGTTGTAAAATCAGACCAGGTTATCCTTGTCATTATCGCTGTCATATTCGACATGGTGTCATTTTTAAATTTGTTCTGGTCATTGGCAGTGATGCTATCAGCATAAGCTGACAGCCGTGTTGAACTGATGTTGTAAAATCAGACCAGGTTATCCTTGTCATTATCGCTGTCATATTCGCTTCACATGGTGTCATTTTTAAATTTGTTCTGGTCATTGGCAGTGATGCTATCAGCATAAGCTGACAGCCGTGTTGAACTGATGTTGTAAAATCAGACCAGGTTATCCTTGTCATTATCGCTGTCATATTCGCTTCACATGGTGTCATTTTTAAATTTGTTCTGGTCATTGGCAGTGATGCTATCAGCATAAGCTGACAGTCGTGTTGAACTGATGTTGTAAAATCAGACCAGGTTATCCTTATCATTATCGCTGTCATATTCGCTTCACTTGGTATCATTTTCTGTTGGATACCAACAGGATATATTGAAGTAAAATTTAGTGACCTGAACAAAAAATGAAAACCAATAGCACATGTCCAATGGGGTTGTTGTCATCATCTGTTTTTGTGTGGTTAAAACCAGATTCATTCATGTCACTGGGGAATAAATTGGCATCATGGTTCTCAACTATCATACATTTATGGACACCAATCTCTGTTAACCATAACAATACACAGTAAATTTTTGGTCAGCCTACAATGCACATTACATACAGCAATCTAACAGAGGACAAGTGAATTATGACCCTAACATCGAGACACCTAAGACCGACGCCTTTTCTTGGACTTTGTGCTCTTGGTTGGTTGTGGTCGTCGAATAAGGGCCAATGCCTCGTCACGTTTTTCATTCTGTTCATGATTGACCAACCACCATGTCAGGTCACGACGAAAGCCAGCAACTTCTTCCTCTGTGTAGGTAAGGGTCACACCAGGTTCCCATCTTCTCAGCCACATCATGCAGTGCACCCCACAATCCCTCCTGTGGACGCAACAATATCAGCACAGTTAGTTAACACATCTGACATGTGCATTTACCCCACAGAAATCGAATTTGACAAAACTGACAGGTTATTCTGCTGGGGAACTTCTGCAAATATCATGGGAGACATTGGCTTTTTCCCAACCAATCCTGGCTTGACCAAGTCCAGTATAATATTGAGCCTCATCCTCTGCAACAACATTCAGGACCAACATAGAAAGTTTAATGATTTTCCAAGTTCAAAAACTAGGGTAAAGATAATGAGTTTTTTCTTACACAGTCATCCACAGCCATTTCCACTGGGTCTTTGATGACAACCTTCTTCTTCTGCTTTCTGTCCTTGGTTCCGAAATGGTTCCTCATGGAGTCTATTACGTGGAAATCCAATGTGCTAGGCTGAATGGCAACGCAAAACCAGTGTTGGCCAACAAGAGCAGGACCAATTATGAAATCACATTCAGCTAAGTTGTAGCCAAGGAACTCAGGAAGAAAGAGCTTCTTATATTTTTGGGCTTTCCAGGTTGGATCATGTGCCATCATGTTCTGCATGACATGAAATTGTTAATCCATTAACAGAGAACAAGTCATTTCCAATTCAATTGCTGTCATTGGTATTTGCATTTGGAATTATGCAACCTCACCATGAAATCAACATCGAAAATGTGCCTCTTCCCTGGCCCCAACTCTGCCTTCATGTCCTCCATCACTGCCTTGCACACCAAATTAAGCACCTACAGAACACAAGTGAAAACGTCATTCTGGTACAATAATCTCACCAAACATTATCAAACATAATCGTGGGTGCAGGGACAGAGCATTCTAAAATACCCTGTTATTTACTCTGTTCACTCCACCCAGGGAAAACAGCTGTTGTCGGTCTATATCTTCATCAAACATTTTGATGACAGTCCTGCAAACATTGTCAGATGTCAGTGACAGAAAGTATGGTGTTGGGGACATCAATACTTGTCATTCCCATGTATGTTATTGTCATTTTCAATTCTATTGCTGTCATTGTCAGGGCACACTGTGTCATTTAAAAACAAAACACTAGCTACGGATATACTTACATATTCCCCTCTTCCTCTCCCTTGGGTCTACGGGATATTAAAGTGAAAAAGATGTCCCTTTCCTCCTTTGGCCTCTTCGTCCTCGGAGCTGCCTTGAATTCTATCCACGGAGATTTAATTGTGGAACTCTTTGCCCTTGTTGACCTCCTAAGGTCAATCGATTTTTCAGGCCCTCCTTCCTCCCCACTGTCACTGCTCACCCATTCTCGATCCAACAGCAAAGGAACATTGGTAGGGGTCATTGTCAGTACATGTGTAGCTTCCTCACCCTCATCATCTGAATCCCGAACCTCCTTATCATCATCTTCGGCCTCCTCAACCACATAATCATGACTGACTTCCATGTCATCATGGTCATCTTCCTCCTCATCAACCACATGACCTCCTTCCCTGTCATCATGGTCATCTTCCTCCTCATCCTCATCGTCGTCGTCATCACCTCCATGACCATCACGGTCACCCTCTTCTTCCACCTCCTCAACCATGTAATCATCACTGACTTCCCTGTCATGAAGGTCATGTTGTTCTTCATCCTCATCCTTCTCATCATCTCCTTTGCTGGTTTCATCCTCATCAAGTTCCTCATCTGCACTTCCCGCTGCAACCTCTCTTGCAATCTCCTCCACCACTCGGTCAACATCATCAGCTTCTTCAGCATCGTTACCAGCTGCATCACCAACTGTTTCAACCCCTTCTTTAGCAGTGGCATTCTCATTCCCCATCCCCTTAACTTTGGCGTTCAATCCAATCTGCAGTTTGAGTAGCTCATCATCAAGAGCCTTCATTAACGTCCTCTGGCTTTCTTCAAGCTTCTTCACAAAACGAGCCCTCAACTCCTTCAATGCCTGCATACACAGTAAATGAAGATATCAAAAAAATTGTTCACTGTTATCAAATGCCAGTATCTCACTGGTCATTTCTAAATAAAGTCTTGTCATCTCAAGTATCAACCTTGCTAATAGACTGACTTAAACTCAGGTCACGTATATTTTCTAAGTTCCCACATACCGGATCTAAAGACTGCAAAATTGGACTGTCCTCATGTCCTGCTGAGTATACCTCGCTGCCACTGCTTCCATGCAATATTCCCATGCTGCTGCCTCTCTCTTTCTCCACCCTCTCCTTTATCTTCTCCTCGGTCCAATATTCAATGGCGCTTGTTGAACCCCGGTCAACAGACAATCCCAGCGGGAAACGCTCAACAAAATACAGCTGCAAAACCAAATAAAGATAGGTCACACTTCTGCAACAATAACAAAAGACAAAAATATAGTGAACCATAAGAAAAATATTGACTTACCAGCAGCAAATAAAGACACCCTCCAACATTGCAGGTTCCTTTCTTCTTCTTCTTTGTCATCTTCACAAAGTCTCCCATTTCCTTCCACAGGTTCTTGATTATGTACGTTGACCAATCATATTTCCCAAACCCATTCATCGTGTGACGCATCACTTTCAACAAACGTATATGTACAGTTGTGCTTGACCCAGGACATAGAAAAGCTCCAACTGTATAAAGCATAAATAGGAACTCAAAATTGTCGCTTTCTTCCCCAGATAATATCCTCTTCAGTATCTGGGTAAATGGAACCTTCCAATAAGTGTCCTTCAACCTCTTGTATTCCGGGTCATCCTCACTAACATCAGATTTCACTTCCTCCCCACTGTCAGGTACACCTAGAAACTCATGCGCATCTTTTGCCTCAATTGCCTGCCCTTGCCCTCTAATGGTCAAAAAATGCGTTGGTGGGTCATAGCATCTCAACAATGACACAAGTAGATCACGTGGAAGTTGCTTCACATTCACATTAAGCAAGTTCCCAAATCCCATCCTCTGAACTTTCTGCCTCAACCGCCTGTTCTTCTTCACATATTCAGCCAATGATAGAAATCCGGGCAATGAGCACCGGGTGTACAAGGGAACATCATACTTCTTCTTCTCACCTTTCTGTGGCTTCGTTTTCCTTGCCCTCTCATTATACCTATCTTTCTCTTCTTCACTCAGGGCCCTCCATGCCTTCCCCACTTCAATTTTTTCTTCTCTTGCGTTTTTACACTTCTCACCTCGTTTTGCCATATACTCCCTTCTGAACAACACAAGCCCACTGTGGACTCCTTTGCTTGTGGACCCTTCCCCTTCTTCCAACACCATCTCGTATAGTTCTGCAAAGTCATCAAGGTACCATCATTAAATCATAATTTTAATACATATACTACACATCTAGTTCTTTCCAGATTCGTTATGGTCATTTCCAATTAATTCATTGTCATTTACAATATGGCCATTACAGAGTGACAGTAAGGATGCTGCTATGAATATGGTCGTTTCCAGTTAATTTATTGTCATTACCAATATGCCCATTACAGACTAACAGTTAGGTCAGTACTATGAATATGGTCATTTCCAATTAATTCATTGTCATTTACAATATGGCCATTACAGAGTGACAGTAAGGATGCTGCTATGAATATGGTCGTTTCCAGTTAACTTATTGTCATTACCAATATGCCCATTACAGACTAACAGTTAGGTCAGTACTATGAATATGGTCATTTCAATTAATTCATTGTCATTTACAATATGGCCATTACAGAGTGACAGTAAGGATGCTGCTATGAATATGGTCGTTTCCAGTTAACTTATTGTCATTACCAATATGCCTATTACAGACTAACAGTTAGGTCATTACTATGAATATGGTCATTTCCACTTAATTCATTGTCATTACCAACATGGCCATTACAGTCTGACAGTAAGGTCATTACTATGAATATGGTCATTTCAAGTTCCTTCATAGTCATTTACCAGTTTGGTATTGTCATTTCCAGTTTATTCATATAATCTTTCCACTCATTCAGACAGTAAGGTCATTACTATGAATATGGTCATTTTAGGTTCGATCATAGTCATTTACCAGTATGTTATTGTCATTTCCAGTTGTTCATATAATTTTTCCAGTCAATCAGACAATTTTCCTACTGATTTCAAAACCCATTTTTCCAGTTCTCAACTACGTTATTAAAAACAGAATAGCTTGCCACAGCGACTCAGCATAAACCCTTAATCGCCATTCCTGTCATTCACAAACTTCATCGCGTCATATCTAAATATTGCCCAATCATTGCTTCCCAGACTCACCCAGAAACGTCGACCACAGCACGAAACTTAAATGCCTGAACTTACCTCACTGAAATGCTGTTGATGCTTGTTAACTGCAATGGTGAATCACCGTGCGCCAACCTTCGTCTTTCCACACAATCAGTCAGACGCGACCACGTTCGCCCTTCCAACAGCACGCCCTTCCACTTCCAACTCCTCTGCTCTCTTACGCACACACTATTTCGGGGTCCTCAACTGTCCAGCTTGCCGGCGTTTTTAGGGCAACAATGGGGATGGTGGAAGCGAGAAACCGGGAAGCACGACGGTCAGTGCACGAGTGTTCGCGCGCGCCTTCTCTCTCTCCGCTTTCAAACGCTGACTGACAGGGGCTGTTTCGTAATTGTGCAATATTTGCATAATCCCAAATCAGGCAACACTTCCCTATCTGGTAATACATTTGCTTAGCTTCCCATTTTGGCATTTTATTATTTCAGCCTTCTTTATCTGTCATTTTCCCAATTCATTATCCCTTTGGTGGTGGAAAGGGAAGGGACGGAAGAAAAAACTTTAATGAACTCGATTTAAAAAACTAAAAAAGAGAGGATAAAAGTTTTAAATTAATTTTTATTACTAATCTTTTATCTTATATCTTCCTTTCATAAAAATTTTTAAATCTCACTTCTCTAATTTTATAAATCCAACTCACTAAAATTTTCCTGTCCTTTTCCTCCTCTCCATTCCACTCATACCAAACATAGGTAACAGAATGCTTATTGTCTATTAAATTTAGGGAAAATTACACTCAGGTCCCACAGAGCACAATTAATATCAAAAAGGTCCCACGAAATCGAGAAATGATTCTGAAGTCCCCAGGGACCTGTGTGTAATTAATTCTAATTGTGAAATTACCTACTTACCCCTGTTAATTTTATTGCAACAATTCGTTTACAATCTCAACAGTGGCTGTTAACAACCCGAGAAGACGTGATTGACAACCTCGGCAGTGCTCATGGCAACTCACTCTGTGGAATATCAGGGGCGTTGTTGAGGTTGTTAACCACCTCTTCTCGGATTGTTAACAGCCACTGTTGATGTTGTAAATAGGTTATAATTTTATTGCAGCAATTCGTTTACAATCTCAACAGTGGCTGTTAACAACCCGAGAAGACGTGATTGACAACCTCGGCAGTGCTCATGACAACTCACTCTGTGGAATACCAGGGGCGTTGTTGAGGTTGTTAATCACCTCTTCTCGGGTTGTTAACAGTCACTGTTGAGGTTGTAAATAAGTTCAAATTAACAGGGGTAACTACATAATTTTACAATTAGAATTAATTACACACAGGTCCCTGGGGACTTCAGAATCATTTTGCGATTTCGAGGGACCTTTTTGATATTAATTGTGCTCTGTGGGACCTGAGTGTAATTTTCCCTTAAATTTACTTCTTTTCGTTCCCTCCTCTCCTCCCACAATTTTGTCCATTTATTAGCTATACGCTGTTTTGCCAAAAGTCTTGAACGCGTTGATTAATTTCACTTAATGTAACCTTGCTAGTATTAACACTAATTAAATACTTTTTCCCCGCACGGATAATGCAAAAAAAAAAATCTTCAACGGAGATAAAAATCATAAAAAAATAGAATCGATGAAAATTTTGCTTGATTAAAAATATTGCAGATCGAAAGACCCGAGAAACCCTGTTGGTATTTGGCACGGCTTCTTATACATTTTATATTTTAGTATTAATATTAATAATTGATAATTATTTTACTAGCAAAGAGAAACTCCTTTGTTCAATAACAGTCACACGTAAATTAGAACATTCGTCTTTTATCATACATTTAATTTCTTGGGCTCTGCTGGTTAATTTAATTATCATTCAAAAAGCAACCTCTTTGGTGTAATAGTTAATGCCTTTAGCAATTAAAAAAGGGAAAAATATATATTGTTCATAGAAAGGGGAATCATAGATCACTATAAACTTTTATTGATATAATTTATTTGTCACCAAGAACTATAGAACTTGATGAGGATAGTGCAGTGGAGACAGTGACGACACATATATCTCTTGAATTAAGCACACTGAAATCCCCCGGGGCGGGTTCTGCCACAGTTGTTGAGAATCACGTCCACGCTATGGGAAACGTCAAGGTTGATGCCTAAGACATTGGCTCTAATGGCCGCGCAGAGGCAGACGGCAGCGTCGAGGTCGACGAGGCCCCCAATGAGGGTACAGCAATCGCTCTGCTTGCCGATGGTGACCCCGACCAAACCCCCCAACAAGTTGGCGCAGACACCTAACTTAAGAGCGTCCATAGGGCAACTCGGCTGATTTCCTGAGGAAGGAGGAGGTGGCGATGGTGATTGCGCATAGGTGGAGGTTACCATCGTGAAGAAGAGGAGGTTGACGATGCAGAGGACAAGGGCAGACTTGGAAGCCATTCTTCTAGTTTCTGTCACTTGGATTTCTGTGATACTTGGCTTTTGATCGGTGAGGAGTTTTGTGAGATATGATAGGGCTTTTATAGGGGAGAGCATCCCTCTGTTATGGGTTCTTCTTTTTATATTTCAAATGTAAAGCTGAGTTGGATTCTGAAATTATTGGAGCAGTGACTTAAATGTTTAATGCATCTTCTTTTTTTCCCTACATCTCTAAGTAACTTGCCTAACAAGGTGATATAACTGAATAAGTTTTGTACTTGATGTGGATATATATATATTGGTAACAAAGGTACGGTTAAGATTATCTGAATGTTCCACTACCATAGATTTGTCTTGATTTTACAAAATGCAAAACCGTGTAAATATAATATTTATAACTGATATAGAGGTGCAGCACGGGAAAAAAATTATTAGACATTCAAAATCTTTATCATAATAAAAGTAAGTTTACTAACAATTTGTCAATTAAGATAGTAAGCAGTCCCACTCTTGTAAAAAGCAAAACACAAGTTCGATATAATAGGGCTTTTACAGGAGAGCATCCCTCTTTTATGATTTTTTTTTTAAAAAAATAATTGCGATTTTCTTAAATGTAAAGCTTAAATGAGTTGGATTCTGAAATTATCATAGTAGCGACGTAAATGTTTAATGCATGCTCTTTTTTTCCTACATCTCTAATGTAACTTGCCTAACAAGGTGATATAATTGACTAAGTTTTGCACATATATGATGTGGATTATTTTTTTTTGCAGTCAAATGTACGGTTAAGATTATTTGAATGTTCCAATACCTTAGATTTGTCAAGGTAAAAAAAAAAAAAAAACCTTAGATTTGTCGTTATTTTACATAATGCAAAACTGTGTTACTATAACATTTATACTTGATATAGAGGTGCAATACGGAAAAAAAAAATTATATTTGACATTCAAAATCTTATCATAATGAAGGTAGATTTACTAACAAATTATTGATTGAGATAGTAAGCAGTCTCGTAAAGAGGAGAGCACAACTTTGAATTCTAAAGTGCGCCCTTGTTGGAAAAGTTTTAAACTCAACGCTTTCGACCTGACAAAGATTAGTCTTAAATTCAAAATAGTTTAAGAATACACTGAGTTTACATCAACTATCGTGATTTATTCTGGGCATTATAAACATGATATTTTAAATTTGGATTTTACTTTGGGAAAATGACAGTAAAATACCATGTGAATTTTAAAAAGACAAATAAGGCACCTGAATAAGCAAAATGACAAATAAGGTATTGGGTAACAATCTGGAATTTTGATTTTTGGCCTAATGACCGAATTGCCCTTATTATGTTTGAAAACTGAGGAGATGGAGATGGAGAAAGGGAGAAATCTCCTCCTCCCGGCGAAAACAATCCCCCCACTTGGCGAAACCGAATCCCCCCACTCGTCGAAACCAATCCCTCCACTCAGCTAGTGAAACCGAATCCCCCCACTCGGACAAACTAATCCTCCCACTCGGCGAAACTATAAAGTGCTGTCGGTGAAATTGGTAACTATCGCAAGAGTAGAGTGCAGTCATTTGAATATATTTAATGTATCTACTGTCATATGGCTACTGGTTTTTGGTAAATACTGTTACGTGAATGGTATATTCCATTACACATGTGATTAATATAAAAGTTAATGGTTCAATGTTTACTTTGATGTACTTTAGGTGCAATCATTTGAATATATGTAATGTATCTGTTGTTATATGGTTGCTGGTTTTTGGCAAATATTGTTTCGTGAATGGTGCATTACATTACACAAAGTAGTAACTCTCACTATGAAAGTTGTAAATACCACTATGTGTTTTGTAAAATTCAGCGTGAAATTGTATTGTTTTTTTATAGAGAATTTACCTCGCCCCTCACAAAAGGTTGCAAAGCCCATTGAAGAAGTAGTAAATATCATTGTGAAAGTTGTTATTTCCAATATGTATTTTGTAAAATTCAGTGTGGAATTGTTTTGTTTTTGATAGAAACGTTGCCCAGCCCCTCACAAAAAAGTTACAAAACCCATTGAAAAAGTAGTAAATCTCACTGTGAAAGTTGTTATTCCCACTATGTGTTTTGTAAAATTCATCGTGGAATATTTTGTTTTTGACAGAAAAGTTGCCTGCCCCCTCACAAAAGGTTGTAAAACCCATTGAAGAAGTAGTAAATCTCACTGTAAAAGTTGTTATTCCCACTATGTGTTTTGTAAAATTCAGCGTGGAATTGTTTTGTTTTTGACAGAAACATTGGCCAGCCTCTCACAAAAGGTTACAAATCCCATTGAAAATGTAGTAACACTCACTGTGAAAGTTGTAAATCCCACTATGTGTTTTGTCAAATTTAGCATGAAATTATATTTTTGTAGAGAAAAGTTGCTTTGCCCCTCAAAACAGGTTGTCAAACCCCTCGAAGAAGTGGTCAAATTCACTTCGCGAGTTATAAATCTCGTTATGTGTGTAGTAACATTCTGGGCAAATGATTTAACAATACTTGAAAATCAAGCAGCTTTACATTTCCTGAAAATAGTTTGCAAATCCTCTTATATACAAATCCGTTTGCAAATCGGAGAACCTTTTTTGGTGACTAGAGGAGTTTGGATTTAGTTTCTTCGAGTGGGGGGTTCGGTTTCGTTAGTGGAGGGATTGGTTTCGTCGAGTAGGGGCCGAGGATTCGGTTTCGCTGAGGGGAGGGATTAGTTTCACCGAGTAGGTGGATTGGTTTCACCAAGTGGGGGCAGTTTCTCTTTCGCTGAGTGGGGGGATTGCTTTCGCCGGGAGGAGGTGGTTTCTACCTTTCTCTATCTCCTCAGTTTTCAAACATAATAAGGGCAATTCGGTCTTTAGGCCAAAAATCAAAATTCCAGATTGGTTCCTGATGCCTTCTTTGTCATTTTGCTTATTCAGGTGCCTTATTTGTCTTTTTAAAATTCATATGGTATTTTACTGTCATTTTTCCTTTTACTTTCTGTTCTTATAATTATCCACTCAGAATCACAGCCTTACTGTCGTGTTTACAAATACAACTGTTTTTGTCTACGGATGACACGAGATGGGAGGGCCAATTTGGTATACTATTCTTATCCTAATATTATTCACATTTTGTTGTCAAATATAAGTTATATCTCAAAACTTGTCACATGTTTTTCAAGACTATTCCAGGTGAAGGGAAAAAAGATGGCCTCTTTCTTTTTTATTTTTTTAAAATATTTAAAATCACTTTATTTCTATATCTTACATGAGTAATTTACTTGAACTTTGAGGAGCATAAAATATTACTACCTTCGAAAATGTGGAAGTTGGTTTGTGCAATAAAGATTTTCTTTGAAAAGATTCATATCTTTCGCAACATTATTTATAAATATACTTCTATTTTATTTTCTATTGCCTATTAAATTAAGTACTACATATTATAGAATATAGATAATATTTTTAAATTATAATAGATCCAATTGCATAAATATTATATATTTAATACTTTCATACTATATAAAAGTAAACTCTTATCAGTCTATGCTATGAGTCTACTTATAATTTTATCTCATTCCATGAGTTTATATAAACTCGTGTCTGACAACCTTTTTTCTCGCTGTTAATTAAATGAAATAGGTTGCTGGTCAAAAAAAAAAATGAAATAGGTGGTTTTTTAAATATATCGAAAGGTGTTAAACTTAAAACGCTTGAATTAATGAAATGTCATTCGAAATTTTTTTTCTAGTTTTATTTATTATAGATTTAGTGTCTATAATTTTATATAATATTCAAAAATTGATTTTTTTGTCTTCATTATTTTTAAATTTGTTATGCCTTCTTATTACTTTTAAAGTACACTATATTTGATTTAAGTGTATGTTTACAGCATTAAATAAATAATTGACATCTACATAATGAACTCTTAGTTTTGGCAAAAACAAAAAATCTTAGCGTAAAATTAATAGATTAATACATATTTGTAAATAGGAGATGCTCTCTCCGATTCATAATATAAGAAGTTAGTTAAAAAAAAATTTGGTCCAAAATATAAGAGGCTGACAAGGTAATTAATATATATGTGATTATGTATAATCCGTTTTGTGATTATATTGGTTTTGTATGTTATAATTAGATGCGTTATAGCGCAACTTCAAAGGAATGAAAATATATATATGTATCTTTTCTAAATCCTTGTATTCGCTTGGGATCGGTTTGAAAATTTGTATTACTTTAATTTGCCGGACTAAAAATTGGTATTACTTAACATATTTATAAGCAAAATGTATTATATAAGCATATATAACTTGAAATAATTACATCATAATTTTATATAATATTTTTAACAGTAAGGAATTGATAAGTAGCTAGAAGTGTCTGTATTGACAAATTATGATGTCAGTATTAACAAGTGAAGGTGTCATAAATAACTAATTACTTTATGCCAACATAACAAGGGTTAACGGTCAAAAATACATATAAAAATATACCAAAAGCTTATCAAACACTGTGAACTTTTTTTGAGTTTAAAATTATTAATCAAAGTTTAAAAAGAGGTCAATAACGCTAGCACCATTAGCATCTCTTTTTTAGCAGTATGACCCATAATTTTTAATGGAAGTATCAAAACACCCCAATTAAAAAAAAGAGTTAAGGGTCAAAAATATCGATGAACTTATACCAAAAGTTCACCAAGCATCATCCAATTTTTAGTGAAACTACCAAAATACTTCAATCTCGAAAGGCTATTGCATTATATGGATTAGAGATTATTAATTATAATAAATTTGTATATCCCAATCTTTATAATTATAAAAGATTATTAATGTTTTTTTAATAAATTTTTTCTTCTTCAACAATTTTTTCTTCTTTTACAAAAGCCAGCCAATTGTTACAGTTACCGTATTAATTGTTATGACTAAAAATATTTTAATAGCGTAAATATTATACATACTAATTAAATATTTTTTGTAACTTATCATATTTTATATTTTAACATTATTATTACTTATCCTTGAGCATTTTAATTCCAAAGAATTTTTAAATAAAGTTAACAAAATAAATGTTTA